ATTTCAAGACACAGAGAGAGAGACCTCTAAAAACTTGGAGGACAGGAGAGGTCGCATGAAAGAAGTGGCAGCTGCCTATGCCTTGAGGAAGCAAGGGAGCCTATAAGGTAGAAGTGAGAAAGGAATAAGTACATGGAATATAAGGTCTTTGAGGGCAAGGACTATTTGTGTTTTTTTCCTCCATCCCCAGGGCTCCTGGCATATAATGAATGATTAATAAAATGCTTGTTGATTGATTGAGTCCATATATGGGGGACCACTTATGCAATTGTACAGAATGAAGGGATGGAATGCTGGGTACAGGTAACAGCTAAAAGCTGAGTTCTCTGGGAAGGGAGAATTCATGAAGGGGATGATATAACTTTAGTCTGGACAGGAAGGCTCTGTCCCAATTATGTAGGACCTTAAATGCCAGGCTGAAAAATTTGTATTTCATTTTAAAGGTGTAAGGCATTAGATATATGAATAGGGATGTGTGTATGTTGATATGTGACATGATCAAACCTGTGCTTTAAAAATGTCAATTTGTCAGTAGTATGGAGCATGAATTCACAAAGGGAGAGACTGGAATTGGAGAGACTGATTAGGAGGTTACTGAAAAAGTCCAGATTAGAGGTGATGGGAGTCTATAGTAGGAGAGAGGCTGGGTCAGTAGAGAGAAAAGGATGGATTTTAGAGCTTTTTTGGAGGTAGAATAGACAAGACTTGGCAACTGATTTGGTTAAGGAAATGGTAGAAGTTGAAGTTGACTCTAAGGTATGAGCCTAGGTGACTGGAAAGATAGTGGTACCCCTAACAGGAATAGGGAAGTGTGGAAAAGGGATGGGTCTGAGGATAAACAGGAGTGCCACTTTTGGAGATATTGAATTGGAGATGCCTATTGGGCATGTAGGTGGTGATGCTCATTAAGGAAATTGGTAATGTGGGACTAGAGTTCAGAAGAAAGATTAGGGGTGGTTATATACATTTGCAGAGGTGATAATTGAATACATGGGAGTTGATGAAATCCCCAAGATAGAAAATATAGAGAAAACAGACAGAAGCTGGGGAATGTGCACTCTGGAATGAGATGATGAATCAGCAAAAGAAGCTGAGAAGGAATAGTCAAACAAGTAGGAAGAGAACTAGGAGGAAGAAAGAATAGTACAGTAGCTGTTAGAGAGTTGCTTAATAAATCCTTTTTCATTGATTAAATGGTCATTCAATAAAGGAGGAAGGATTTATTACATACCTAGGTAACAGAATGAAGCCCAAGAAAATGGATTGAACAGTTAAGAGAATACCTTGGGAGAAGGTAGTTTCAATCAAGTGGCAAAGTCAGAAATAATATTTGGAAGGTATTGAGAAATGAATGAAAAGTGAGGAAATTGACACAGGGAGTGTAGATTACCTAAGAATTCAGCTGTGAAAGGGTGAAAGAGAAAAGCCTGTAGTGTGAAGGGATGGCAGTCAGGTGAAAGGGTTTTTTTTTTTTTTTGGTTTTGTTTTGTTTTTAGATGGGGGAGATTGGGCATATTTGTAGGCATCTGGGAAAGAATTTCTGGATTAGGGGAGATTGTCATGGGGTCAGAGACAGAGAGAGAAAAGACAGAGAGACAGAGAGACAGAGACAGAAACGGAGAGAGATAGTGTGAGCAAACTCTCAGACGAGATGAGAGGAGATTTCAGGAGTTAAGTGGAGAGTTGCCTTTGGAAGGAAAAGGCCTACTTTTCTCAGAGAAGAGAAAATTGGAGGATGAAAAAGCATAGGGTAGAGGGGAAGGGTTGAGGACCCTGGAGTTACTTAGGAACCTTGGGTTTGAAGACCTAGGAAAGATTTGGAATAGTTGTGGTGGAGAGTGTGATAAAGGGAAAATCAGGGAATAATAGAATTGCCCCGTAGCCACAAGGGGCCTTCTTAGAGCTAGCATACCAAATAATGTAAACTGTGAAAGTCCCTTTGAAATTTCAAATTCTATGCATATGCAAAAGCTTAATTACGTGTCATTCCTCAAAAATCTCTTTATTCAGAAAGATGAGGAATGGGGTGTTCTAACTTACAATACAACTTTATTTGAATTTCCAGTTTTCCAAGAATCAGAATACTGTACAACAAAAATTAAAAAGCCCTTAAGTAGCTTACAGTGTTGTTGGGGAAGATATATTTGGAGAAATTAAAGCTGTGATATGTCCAGTGGTTGTACATAAAATTTGCTGCAGAAAGGGAGAGATCCCTGTAGACTCGGGTGAGGAGGTGAGGCTCCAATTGGGCCTTAAACTATGGGCAGGGCTCAGATAAGCAAAGAGGAGGGGGAAGGGTGATTTTAGGGGGAAGGGTGATTTTAGGTGGAAGGGAACGGCCTGAGCTCAGGCCTGGGGCCAGAATTGTGATATATTGGGGAGGAGGGGGCAATAAGGAAATCAGTAACATTCTTCTATCCTTAAATGTTGGCAGGAAAAAAGATTATAGGTAGTCTTTCTTCCTCACTACTTCTAGTGTCTGGTTGGCATTCTTTCTTATGTACAACTTTGGCTATGATCCATTCCTTTTTGGAAAGGAAGGGCAGCTGATTACTTCAATAAATCACCCTTCAGCGACTTCACACTACCTTACAAAGATTGGGTCCTTCTGCACAACTTTGGAGAAGAGACAGGACCCAAGTTAGAAACTAGGGGATTTCTAGGAAATTCTAGAGACAAGTGCTTCTGGAATGCTGAGGCAAGTCGTCCTCCCCCCTCCCCCTTCTCCCTGGCAATCTTCCCCATCGAAGGAAAGATAAAATTATCATCTGCTGGGGTTCTTAACTTGGGGTCCATGAACTTTTTTTTTTGTTTTGATAAGTATTTAATCTGTTATCTGTATAGTATTTCATGCATTTAAAAATTATCCTCAGAAGGGGTCACCATAGGCATTACTGGACTGCCAAAGTGGTCCAGGACGCAAAAAAAGATAACCCCATGATTAGAATTTAGCTCTTATTTAAGAGGTTATTATCCTAATGACCCTTCCCCCCCATGACCTTAAGTCTAAGGAGCCAGGGCAAAGTGGGACCCCCATATTTGGGGCATTACAACTTAGACATGACTTTTCACAAATTAGAACTTAGATGGGTTACCTCAGTTCTGTACGGAGAAATTCAGAACCTGTGAGATCCTACTTTGAGGGACACTCCAGGGTCAGATGATTCAAATGATGACAAGGTGGAGGAATGACAGGTATTGATCAGTGTATTATATTTATCTCTTTTGACCCGTCACCCCACCACATACACAGTGTAAGTAGGTCCTTAATACACCCTTGTTGAATGAATGACTACCCAAATGAATAGCAATTTGGAGAAAGGCCTTAATGGAAGAACTCAGGATTTCCATGATGACACGGGGCAAAAACTTGCTTAACAGAAAGGCCCAGTCGATTGAAAAGAGGCCCATTACTTTTCATTCCCATCTCCAACTCCTCTATATGTACTCGCTGCTCAGGCTCCTGAGAGCCGGGAGAGCAGGCGTGCGAGCCTGCCTGTTGCACCCGCCACCACCGCCACCGTGACAGCGCGGGCGAGCTGCGTGCTCCCCTTTTCCGCCGGGCTCCCGGGCGCCCCTTCTATGAGCTCCGCCCCCCTTGGAACGTTGCAACGTCGGAGCGTTCCACCGGTTGCTACATCGTAGCGAGGGGCGGGGCGCCTGTCAGGGAAGCCGGGCGGGCGGGCTGGGGCTGCGGCTCTGCCGTGCCAGCGCCAGACCCGCCGCCCCGCGCCTTCCCCAGCTCCGCGCCACATTTTCCTCGGCCCCACATCTGCTCTCCGGCCCCGGTCCTCGGCTTCCCGCCGTGCCCCTCCGTCACTCAGTAATGGAACTGCTGTGCTCTGAGGGGGCTCGGCGGACGCCCCGGGCCGGGCCGGACCCTCGGCTACTTGGGGACCAGCGCGTCCTGCAGAGCTTGCTCCGCCTAGAGGAGCGCTACGTTCCCCGCGCCTCCTACTTTCAGTGCGTGCAGAGGGAGCTCAAGCCTCACATGCGGAAGATGCTGGCATACTGGATGCTGGAGGTACCGACCGACCAGGACCCCCCGATCCCCCTTTCCCCTTTGCCCTCTCCCTTGTCCATGCTCCGGATACCTGGGCGGTCTGAATACTTCGGACTACCCTGACCGCAGCAAACCAGAGTGCCCGGCCAGCAGACCCCTTGACCCCTGTATCCTGGCCCTCTGACCCTGGCATCGTGCTCACCCAGCTCCTTATTGCCCTCTTCCACCATCCCCAACCCCTTCAGCTTCCAAGTTATTTCACTCCATGACCCTGCTTATCCGCATGGAGCCAGGACAGCTGCGCCCCAGGAGTGGTCGGGGTGCAAGGAATATAGAGTCTTCGACTTCACCCCGTATCTACCTTTCCCCGTCCCGAAACCATTCCCTTGGCTGTGCCGCCTCGGGCTCCTCTCCGCCCTCCCCCCAAATCCCAGGGCCGGTTCCTGTCCCTGGTTGCGGGGTGGGGGTGGGGGGCGGTTCCGGCAGACAGGGAAATGAAAAGTGCGGGAGGAGGGGGCAGGAGTGTCTCCTCCCTTCCCCGGGTGGGTGTGTGGAGGGGGGGGCGGGTCCCCATTCTCCCGCCATCGCGGGTGCCTCTTCCGCCGCGCGCTCTGCTCCCCCCCCCCCGTCAGGGGGCCCGGGACAGGGGGAAGGAAAAAGGCTCGATGTGGAGTCACACCGGAGTCATCCAGCTGCTCTCTCGGGGGCAAGGTCCAGATTCACACAGGCTAAAGGAGGGGCCCCTCAGACCTGCACCCACAGGGAAAGGAGAGAGTAGGCAACGCTGAGGAAGTGAGGGACTCCTGGGGGAATGGGGAAGAAGGGGGCCCGATTTGGGAAAGGGTGCAGCCTCCTCTCCCATCGGTTCTTTTGGTCACCTTTTTTCATTTTCTCCGCTAGTCCTCTCGGGTTCTCCAGCCCCTTTCCTTACCTCTCGAGCCCTGAAGTCCCCACCCCTTTCCTTCCTGCCCAACAGTCACTGTCCCCTCTCCCCAAGGTGTGTGAGGAGCAGCGATGTGAGGAGGAGGTCTTCCCCCTGGCGATGAACTACCTGGACCGCTACCTGTCCTGTGTCCCAACCCGCAAGTGCCACCTGCAGCTTTTGGGTGCAGTGTGCATGCTGTTGGCCTCCAAACTCCGGGAGACCACACCATTGACCATGGAGAAGCTATGTATCTACACTGACCACTCTGTCACACCCCACCAGCTCCGGGTAACATGCATAGGCACCTCTACTGCCCTCCCCCCCCATAGCTATACTTATTCTGTTCATCTTCCTCCCAATTCCCTCCTTTACACATATGAGCAGTTTGGAGGGGAAAATTGTATGACTGACAAAAGTCTTTGCTATGACCTGTCCTGAGAAAGAACATGGTTGTGGTCATGTTCTTTACTGGCTGAGAGGATCTGGGGTGAATCAATCTACAGGGACAGTAGGCAGTAGACAGGGTAACCCCCCAGCACCAACATCAGCCATCCCACTGAACTCTTCCTTCTGTGGGATTATTCCAACAGGTTGTTGCTTCTTGGTTCTTTTTCAGAGCCAGAAAGGTATTTCAGGTGTTGTCTTTTCTTGGCTAGTAATGGTCTTCTGAATCTCTCCTTGTCTGTATAGTAAAAGGGAGTTTTTTTGCCAGAGAATTTGCAGGGACTTAAATCAGGAGACTTGGATCTAGTTTAACACTGTGAGACTATGGGCAGACAAATCATTTAACCACTCTGAGCCTCAGTTTCCTTATTTGTAAAATGAAGACACTGAGTATTTATATTGACCAACCTCACAGGATTGTAGGAAGTCTTTTTTTTGTTTGTTTCCTTTTGTTTTTTGGTAAACCTTAAAGTGGTAAAGAAATTTGGAGTTGTTATTAGTACTCCTGCTTCCTCCTTCTTTCAAGCCCTCCTCCCCCCCCCTCTGTCCTTTAGTGAGACCAGTTCAATCCAGTAGGGATAGTGACTTGTTGGTGACTTGTACTTGCCAAGGTAGGATTTAGTGTTGTCATAATTTAGATTTGACCTTGTTAGAGAAAAGAAAAACTTCAGGATTAAAGTCAGAATCTGGAAGTGGGGACAGTACTAATCAAGGCCTGAGGTGCTTCATTTCTTCTCTTTCTAAGCCAGGAAGACAATTCCAGCCCCGGCCTTCATTCTCCACTTCCTCTCACCCATACACCTTAGGGACTCTGTCCCCTGCAGAGCTGGTCTAGGGCTAAATAGAAAAAAAAAATCTACCCCATTGCCTAAGGTAAGAGCAGGGTAGCCTGGGAGGAGGGCTGCAGCTGCTTCCGATGTGATAATGATGCTCCCCTTCTGGCTGCCCCTCCCTTTCTGACCACTGGTCTTTCATAACTTGGTGGGGAGAGTTCTGCTACCTCTGTATTTCAGGATGCGGCTCCCTGGCCTCTTGCTGGGAACTGTGTGGGACTGTTATGATTCTCTCTTCTCTTGGCTTGGGGGAGGGTGAGGACTGAAATGTGAGGGGGAAGAAGAGAGAGCCCTATATTTCTCTAGATCCCCAGGAAAGGTGAGAATGGAGAGTGCTAGTCCTTTTGGATCTGGATGGAGTCATTCAACTCTTGTGGTTAGTGCAAAATAGGGGCAAATTGAGGAAGGGGGGGAGGGGAAGATTTGTGTATGACCCCCTCCAGAGCTGGTCTGCTGCCTTTTATCCTGACCCTGGCTCAAGTTCCCAGGGTCTGTATAGGGGAAGTCCATATAAGTGCCTACTATGCCACTAATGCTTCAAAGTGTTTGAGCTGACTAGGTGGATTGGCAAAGGGACCTCACGGTTTGACCCTGAGTGCCCGAGGACTGGCTAAAGGAGAGTAATTTGGCCTTAGTGAATGGTAGGGCAGAGCTGGCTTTCTCTTCTTGGGCCAGATTTCCAAGACAGAAAGAGGAAATTGGGGTGGAATTGGGGAAAGAAAGAGGACCAAATGGCCCTTTGGGATGTGAGTCTTGAGTTTTTTGGGAGCCACTTCTGTCCTGGAACAGATTGGTTTTCAAGGTGCTGTGAGGGTGGAGGAGCTGCTTATTTTGTTGAGGTCTTTGGAGATTGTCGGCTTGAAGATAGAGATAACAAGCCACACTGATATAGGGCTTTAATGTTGGCAAAGCAGGTAATGTGAATACTGTTTCCTCATTTTACAGATGATGAAACTGAGACTCAGCCAGGGGATGTGACATGCCCTTCATATAGCTAGTGTCAGAACTAAGGTTTGAGCTAAAGTCTCCCAACTCCTTGGCGTCCACTACTTTTTCTGCTTCACCATTCTGGGTAGTAATGAAAATAATAACTAATATTTATATAGTGCCTGAAGCTTACAAAGTATACACACACACACACACACACACACACATGCACATACATACACACATACACATATGTATAACACATATATATGCATGCACACATGTATAATTTTATTTGGGTAAGGGTAAGCAGGATACAGGAAATTAGGATGAGGTCATAAATTTGTCAGAAGAGACAAAAATATTCCCCACTCATACCCGTCTTCCTGAGTAGGGGAGAAGAGTCATGCTAAAATTATCTCTGAAAGCCTAGCCTAAACTCGGAGAATGTCAGAGTTGGAAAGGTTATGTGAATCAATCTCTTCCTTTAGTAGATAAGGATATTTGAGAGCTAGGGAGGTGAAGGACTTGCTGAAAGTTCTCCAGGTAAGTCAAGGGTGGAGTTGGCTGAGGTGGGCCAGGACAGTGCTTTTCTCATTATACCATACTGCCCTAAAAGTGAAGGTTTTTTTCAGGAGCTCTCAGCTGCTTTGGGAGTGATTGGGGGATTCCACTTCTAAGCACTTCTGAAAGGGCATTAGATAGCTGCCCTTTCCAATCCTCAGGAATATTTCTAGTTCTCTCTTGATTTTCACATAGGGGAATAGAGTCCTAAGCCTCAGGCCAGCATTTCTTTGTGGGGGCCAGAGAGCAGCTTTTGGCTTGATTCATTGTAAGCCAGGAAGGTCTTGGCTTGGTGCTGTGGTGGGGTGGGGACAGAGTGAGGCGAATTCTAGGCTGAGTTAGGGAATCCGTGAGCTGTGGCTAGCTGCCAGGAGGAAGAGGCCTGGAGAGGGTGGGGGCTTGAGGGTGTGTGTGTGTGTGTGTGTGTTGTGTGTGTGTGTGGGGAGAATTGCCATTTCTGTTTCAGTAAGGGGTCAAACCCCTAAGTTTCTTCCTGAGATAAAAATGGTGAAGAAATCCTCGTGTGCAATTCGGAAATGGGGCCAGGGCTGGGAACACAAGACAAGAGGATTGGGGAGGGGAGGGCAGATGGGAGTGTCCTGACTAAAGGTGTCTTGGTTGAAGGGACTGTCTTTGACAGAAACCTCCAATGCAAATTCCCCACAGCCCTCTCAAATACCCATGGTCTGTATCCCTCATAGCAAGTTGGCACACTTGGTAACAGGAGAGCTTTCTGCTTCCTCACCTGGTGTCATTTCTGCCTAGAGCTGCTCTGCCCTCTGGCTGTGATGGATGGGTGGTGCCCACCTCCTTCTCTGCGCATGCTGGGTTAGATTTACTGTTTCTGAAAGCACTAGGTCCTATTTCCCTTGGGCTCCCACAGTTGCCATGGGGGTCCTTGTCACCCCTTTGCCCCTCCCTGACCCCTGACCCTCAAACCCCACTATGGGGATGTGAGTTGGGTTGGGCAACTGCTCCTTTGAGGAACCTCAGGGGGTAGCTGGGTTGCTGTGTCATGGGAGGGGTGGCTTTGGGGCTGTCTTGAGCTGACCTGAGCAATGTCTCATTTCTTCAGTGTCTTTGGAGCTGAGGGAAGGGAATAAGTTCTCTGCCTCCTTCTACCCTGTCTGACCAGGTCCCTAACTCCACACTCTCTTGAAGTTGTGAAGATCTCTGACATGCTCTGACAATGTCTTATTCCCCCACAAAGCCTGTCCTAGTACCTCATCTGAGATGTACAGGGCTCTGCTCCATTCCAGAAGTGGCTACACTTAACAGTGGTATGAGACAGTATTTTCCATAAGTTGGAGAAGTGCCTTGAAGCTCAGAAAAGAAGCAGGGCATGCCTGAATTATTCCCACCCTGAGAGAGAATACTTCAGCATTCCAATATGCATCTGCTTCCCAGTTTGCCCACAATCCCCAGGCTCTCCCTAGATAGAATGCCTTGATCTCTCGGCCTAGTCAAGGATTAGGTTATGCCATCTCATTCAATCCCAGTCACTAAGTCTTATCTGCCCTCTTCCCTGACTGCTCCTAGGACTGGGAAGTGATTGTCCTAGGGAGGCTCAAGTGGGACCTAGCTGCTGTGATTGCTCACGACTTCCTGGCACTGATTCTGCACCGGCTTCCAGTGCCCCTGGACCGACGGGCATTGGTCAAGAAGCATGCCCAGACCTTTTTGGCCCTCTGTGCCACAGGTAAGACCCCCTTTCCCTTCTCCTGTACCTTGGCCTTGTTGTCTGTACCAGCTGGGATTGAAGTAGATGTGGTGGGGAAGGCAGACTCCAGAATTTTTCTGTTAGGACTAGATGCTCCATCTGCACCTCATATCATCCCATCTCTAACCCTACCGCTAGAGAGGGCTGTTTTTCTCTTACAAAAAATGCTACATTGTCCGATGAGTGCCTGAGTCTGATTATCTCTAGGGAAAGAGCCCACAGTCTTCCTCTCTTACAAGTGTTTGATATTGCCAAATAGTTCCCCTCTGGCCATCCCCAAAGTTTTCTTGCTTTAGTTTCACCCTATTCTCTTATTTCCATGAGGCAGGAGAGTATTTGCTTTCTGGGGGTTGCTGTGACCTCCTAGATCCCTCATTCCCCACAAATAACCCCCACTCTCAATCTCTTTCTAGATTATACTTTTGCTATGTATCCACCCTCCATGATCGCAACTGGCAGCATTGGAGCTGCCGTGCAGGGCCTGGCTGCCTGCCCCTTGTCTTCCGATGAGCTGACAGAGCTGCTGGCAGGGATCACAGGCACTGACGTGGTGAGTGCCAGGCAACAGAGGTGGGGTCTGTAGTTCAGTGATTCCCCACATCAGACTAGCTCTGGAGGTGGTGTTCTTAGAGCAGCCTGCAGGGGGAGATGCCTTTCAAATAGCCAGGGTCTCTGACTCTGCTATGGCTGAATAAATAACTTCCATCTCCGTTTCCCAGGGAGGGTTTGAAGCTTCAAATCTCTTGCTCTGTCTTGGGGGGAGAAAAAACAAACACACCCCAAGTGGCCCACTTCTAAGCGTAAAAGGCCCTCTCTCTATTATCTCCCCTCCTTGCCAGGGACTGTGGTGAAGGGAGGAGAATACAGCACCATTGCTTGCCACATCCTCTTGTCAGTTTCTGAGAATCGATGGCAGATTCCCGGGGATGGGCTGTGGCCTGAGCCTGCCTTGTTTCCCCTCCTACCCATCCCCTCCCTTTCAAATGTGGTAATAATAATAATAATAATGATAATAGCAACTGGCATTTATGTAGCATGCTTTGTACACATTATTTCCTTTGAGCCTTAAAACAACCCTTCAGGGTAGATGTTGTTATTCCCATTTTAGAGATAAAGAAACTGAGGCTGAGAAGTTAGGTGACTTGGAAATGGTTACATAGCTGGTAAGTGGCTGAGCTGGGTTACAAACCTATGTCTGGACTTGCAGTCAGGATTACTGGGTTTCAAATCCTCCTTCTGACTTTTACTAGCTGTCACTATAGGTAAGTCATTTAAACACTGTAAGCCTCAGTCTACTCATCTGTACAATGGGGATATATCCACAGGACCAAACCCAAAAGGTTGTTGTATGGCTCACATTTGAAAAACACTCAAAAAGTATTTTGCAAATGATAAATTGCTACGTGTCAGTTATTATCATCCACTATACCATAATTCTTCAAAGCTCACCCCTCCACCAGCCAAAGCAAATGGGAACACATAAGAGAAGGCTGGAAGTGACCTTCTTTCCCCTTCAGAGCTCCCTTGTACCCCTCTCTGTTTACCTCCCTTTGCCCTTTTTAACTGTTCTCTTTCTCTTTGTTCTAACCCCAGGATTGCCTGCGTGCATGCCAGGAGCAGATTGAAGCCGCTTTACGGGAAAGCCTGCGGGAGGCTGCCCAAGACACAGCAGTCACAGTCCCTAAAGCTCCAGAATATTCTGGAAACCAAGAGCCTAGTCAGACCAGTACCCCAACAGAAGTTACAGCCGTTCACTTGTAACTCCTCCCCTGTCTTCCCCATCCCTTCTCATGGGCCACACGAGGGAGGAAGGAACAGCAAAGATGGTCAGCCCAGCCCAGCCTCTGCTCAGACAATCACCTTTACCATCAGCTGGATGTCTGGGCCCAGGGAACCATGGCTCCTGTTGAGCCAGAGTTTGAGAGGGGGCAGATTCTGCCCCATGTGTGGGCCTGCCTAGTTGGTGAGATAGGGAGCTAGCTAAGCTCTTCCTTCTCATTTTATTTTTGCCAGTTTCTCTGTCAGTAGTTTGATCAGACCAAGGCAGAATTGTTTAGTTGGCTCTTCCCTTCCCCAAAGGCATTACCTTTTCCCCTTAACCACACCAGGGGTATTTGCATTTAGACTTGAAGACTTAATTCCAAGCCTGCCAAGTGCTTGGAGGAAAAAATTCTGGCTGGGGGTGGGGATCCTCCCTGGAATCTTTTGGTATAGCATAAAGCCAGCCCTGGGGAAGAGAAAGGCTCAGGCCTCATTCTTGGGGACCTGCAGCCTGATTCCTCCTTGAATTGCTTCCTACTCAGCTTGCCAGGTGTACATCCTGATGTCAAGTCAGGAATGGGGGGGTGGGGGGAAGGCTCCATGGATTAATTTATTATGACAAGGTGCAACACAGTGCTCAGAGTACAACGTAGGAGGGGAGGGGGAGCCTTCCTCTGCCCTCTAGAAAGTGATCCTTTTTGTCGACGTGCCTCCCCCCACCTTCCTTCCTCCCATCCCATCCCCCGCATTTGGCTGGAAAGACTTAGTGCCAAAGATGCTGCTACAGCCTGGGGGGGGAAGGGGGGCGGGGAAGAGAGGGGCTGCAAATCCATTTTCCTCTAGCCCTGCTCTTTGAGGTGTGGAAAAGATGAATGGACTCTAGGGGTAACAAAGCCTCTCCCAGGAGAGGAAGGCAGACCCTGTTCTCTGCACAGGTGTCCCTGGGGCCACAACTCTGGTCCAGCAGGGACATCCCAGGGTCTTCAAGCTACCTGAATAAAGATTCTGGATCACACCAAGCTTCAGGTCTTTCATGAACTGGGGGATGTTTTGGGGAAGGGGTAGTTTGCTTCTTGGATAGGAGTCCAAGGAGTGGGCAGGAACAGAAGCAATGGATTTCATTACTCAGGAGGAGGCCATGGAGCCTGAAAGAGGCTCAGACTGGGCTTTCCTTGACCAGGGCTCCCCACTCCTTGTCATACCTGTCTGGAGCTTGCTAAGGAATTGTTTCCATTATAGCTCTAGTATATAGCCCATAGCTCCAGACTGACTGACCCCCTTTTAACTCCAATCTGCCAAGTCTCTAGGGAAAAAGTTCTGCTACAGAATATGTTCTTAAATGATCTGAGGTCCACTCCAAACCCTGAGATCTCCAGATTCCTCAGTAAGGACAGGACATGGAAGCCTAGGCCATAATTAATGACCTGGTGTACCTAGGTTCCTATCTTCTCAAGTCTTCTTCAAGTTAAAACACTCCCAGTTGCTTATAACCTAAAGTAAAGAAAGGGGAAGATTCAGAGAAACTTCTGCAAGGTTGGCTGTAGCAGAGTTGGGGAAGAATCCAGCCTTAATGGGAGGTATAAATGATACCTCAATCAAGACAGTAGTTTGAAAAACGAGGTTTTAGTGGTCTTGCAAGTTCAATACGGGTCAGCAAGTGTGATGTGGCGACCAAGAAAGCTAACTAACGTGGTCTCGGCCTGTGTGAAAAGCAGTACAGTTCCTAGGGCTAAGAATGCACCAGTGTCTCCATACTTGGGTCCTGGTTACCTTCATCTGTAGTATGTGTAGAGTTGGAAAGCATCTCGGGTCACCAGGATTCTGAAGGGCCTTAGAGTTTATGTGATACAGGAGCTGGCTGAAGCAACTGGGGATATTTAAAGTGGAGAAGAGGAGACTCGGGAAGATACCCGAACACACATTTAACTCTTTGCAACTTCTACTGGTCCTTGGGGCTAAATGCTGGAAATTATAAGGAATGTGTGTCTTGAGAAAGAAGAAGGTGTGGAAGTGTGGCAGGAAGGTGGCACAGAGCTATCTTCAAGTATCTAAAGGGGCAAGATTATAGACTTATTTTGTTTGGCCCTACAGGGCAACCAAGAGAAATGGGTGGAAGCCACAAAGAGGCAAATTTAAGCTTGATGTTCTAAGGTGGAAGAGGCTGATTAGGGAGCTGATGGCTACCACTGACTAGGTCTTTAAGCAGAAGGTCAATGACCACTTGTTATATATAGAAGACCGATGGCCATTAAGGTCCATTCCAATGCTAAATTTCTGTGACTATGAGCAGCAAAGAAACCCGAATTTGTCTCAGTACTGTCCTCACTTCATGGACACCTTGTTCTTATCGAAAGATTGTGGAGGGGAAGGGAGAAGTAGGGAGGGTCTGTGACAAGGACAATGTGACAAATGAGATAAATACACAGCTTTTTTTTTTTGGGTTCACATCCAGCATCCACCTGCCTCAGCTGCTGACTTCTTCCACCATGCTACAAAGCGAGTCAGGGTGTAACTGTACTTGTCAGGTTCTAGACCGGAACAGGACTTGGGGAAGTTCTGTCAGGCACTTAGGCCAGAATAATTCAAGTCTAGTCAGGGAGATCATAGCACTTCAGTTTTGTCCTTTAGGTGCCCCTAAGTCACACAGTCTTAGGAGCCATGAAAAAATCATAGAACAGTTCATGTGTCATCTCTCCCTACCCCTACCAAAATGGGGAAGGTAGCCGTCTTCCTCAGGAACCTCAGTCCATATTGACAGAGGGCCCTTCCACATCTCGGGCGGTAGCACTGAGCAGCTCCCTCCGGATTTCAGGGGATAGCTGTGGGTGGGACTGCAGGCGAAGAAGCTCTAGCAGGGCCTCCTTCTGTTCTGTGGTCAGATCAGCTTTATAGCGCTGAGCCAGGGTCAGCAGGCTTTGGTGCCAAAGAACAGGAAGCTTTCGCTGCTCAGTCCGAAAGGCCAGGAAGTGAAAGACTAAGGCATCCAGTACCCGGAAGGGCAATGCGTACTTCTTGTCCAGCAGCAGCCGTAGGAAGATGCTATTGGCTCCACTGTATTCCATCTCAGCAATTTTCAGCATGGCTGCACTAAAGGGGGAAGGAGAAGTGGGAACAACAGATGAATATCTCTGTGCCACTGATACTCAAAGGGTTTTCAGTTGGGAAACAGCCTGGGACAGAGTGGTCATACTGCAGAAGCACAGACCTTGAAGCTTAAGAGCAAACCAGAGACAAAAATTCGGCTGGGATGGAGAAAAGGGTATTATTGACTGGAAATTCTTAGGAGCAAGGGGTAATTAAATAACAGGAACAGACTGGTACAATAGAATCAAGAAGACCTGGGTTGAAATGCCCAGGAATAATGCCGCTGTCACTTAAGTACCTGTGTGACCCTGGCCAAGTCACTTAACCCCAACTGCCTAAAAAACAAGCAAACAAACAAACAACCAAAATAAACTGAGGCTCAGAGAAGATGAGCAATTTCCCCAAGGTAATAAGCTGGGATTTCACAAGGCAGGCCTTCTGACTTCAGATCCAAGGCGCATAATATAACACTTCACAGGTTACAGTGCATTTTCCGTCCATCGCTTCATTTAATCCTTGTGTCCTCATCTCCCTTCCTGCCATTGTTTACTCTCTGAACCACCCAAAGGCCAGACTGGGGCGGAGGGAAGAGTAGCCGCTGGACTCTGCACTCTCTGACCCTGCAGCACATCTTCACTGCGCCATTTTATACTAGTTTCCTGCCTCTTTGAGACCTGCCATCAAATCATGGCTACTTCTGGAAAGGGCATGTTAGCGGACTGTTCTATTGTCTCCCTCGGCACTTTTGTGAATTGCCAACCACTGCACTGTTCCTTGGCCTCCCCTCACCTATCTGTGTAGTTTCCTCCATTGAAAGTGAACCTCCTCTAGGACAAATGCCTCAATCCTGCATTTGTATCTTTAGCACTTTAGCACAGTACTTGCAGCATATTAAAGAGGAAAGGGAAATATAGGCATTTTTTAATCGCCTACTATATGCCAGGCATTGGGCTTAACCCGTATATAAACATCTCATCTGGTCTTCACACCAACCTGTCCAGGATCACACCAGTGTCTCAGGCTACATTAGAACTCAGCTCTTGCGGCAGTTAGGTGGCACAGTGGATAGAGCACCAGCCCGGGAGTCAGGAGGACCTGAGTTCAAAATCGGCCTCAGACACTTACTAGCTAGCTGAGTGACCCTGGGCAAGTCACCTAACCCCATTGTCTCCAAAATTAAAAAAATAAAATAAAATAAAAAATGTATAAATGAGGAAGTTGGACCAGACGACTCCTGAGGTCCCTTCCTGCTCCAATCTTTGACTTGCCCACAGTTCACTCAGCCAATAAGCCTGGACTTAAATAGAGATGGTCTGATTCCCCATCTGTTCTATCCACTGAATGGTGCTGCCCCCTCTCAATGATACACTTGATAAAGCTAAACCAGTGGATTAAATATTAGGTCAAGGGAGAAGCTGAAAGAAATGAGCTCTGACTCACACCTTTGACCTGTACTTTGCCCTGCATCAGTTTCCCTATCTGAACTGTGCAGGGAACCTGGCTAACCCTATCCCTGAACTGTCCAGGATGCTGGAAACAGTGACAGACACAAACAGAAAGGGCAGCTGTGAGGAGATCAGGACAACAGCCCCGCAGTACCTTGAGTGCAGCACAGGGATGGAGCACTTGGTGATGATGCTGCCCACAATGATGGCCTCACGAAGGGTACAGGTACCAGATTCACATAGGGGTATCAGGATCCCTGGGGAGGTCAGAGAAAGGACTGTTAGTGAGGACTGGGAGCAGAGGGGAGAAAGTACATGGGGAGAGAAATGGGAACAGTCGGTCCAGGGTTTAAAGGGAACTCTGCCCTCAACTGCAGGAACCAATGTACCCACCTCAGAAAGGCCTACTCTAAGACCTACCTTTGAACCATGCCCCGGTCTTGAATAATGCTTTCTTGAGTGCCATGTAGAGGTGAAAGTTAAGGCGTTTATATTCAGCAATGTCATCTCGCACACGGGGGAGAAGCACCAAGTTGTAGAAGCGCTGGGCCATCCTATCCTTGAGATTGGATGAGAATATCCTGGGTGTGGAAATTTCCAGATCAGTCACAGATGAGATTGTTTTCTGTACATTTTAGTTTCTCCCCAATTACATGTGAACAGTTTTTTAACATTCTGTTTTTTAAGTTTTGAGTTCCAAATTCTATTCCTCCCTGAGATGGTAAGCAATCTGATATAGTTGATACATGTGCAATCATGTAAAACATATTTCCATATGAGTTGTTCTGTGGAAGGAAGGCAGGAAGAAAGAAGGGAGAAAGGGAGGAAGGAAGAAAAGGAAAGAGAGAAAGGAAGAGAAAAACAGTATGCTTTGGTATGTTTTCAGATGCCATCAGTTTTTTCTCTGGAAGCAGGTGGCATTTTTCATCACGAATCCTTTGGGCTTGTCTTGGACCACTGTATTGCTGAGAATAGCTACGTCCTTCATAGTTGATCACGGTACAATGTGCTCCTGGTTCTGCTACATCACTCTGCATCAGTTCATATAAGTCTTTCTAGGTTTTTCTGAAGTCATTCTGCTTGTCATTTCTTATAGCACAGTAGTGTTCCATCACAATTTGTTCAGCCATTCTCCAATTAATGGGCATTCCCTCAATTTCCAATTCTTTCCCACCACAAAAGAGCTGCTATAAATATTTCTATACAAATAGGTCCTTTTCCTTTTTTTGGGGGGATATAGACCTATTAGTGATATTGCTGGATCAAAGGGTATGCACAATTTTATAGCACTTTGAGTACAGTTTCAAATTTCTCTCTAGAATGGTTGAAGCCATTCACAACTCTACCAACAATGCATTAGTTTTCCAGTCTTGCCATACCCCTTCCAACATTTATCATTTTTCCTCTTCTGTCATATTAGCCAAGCTGACAGGTGTGAGTGGTACTTCAGTGTTGTTTTTATCTGCATTTCTCTAATCAAGATGATTTAA